AAGTGGCTACAGTGGGGGGTCTTGTGCTGTATAGATTGTAAAGCCCCTTGAGGCAAATGTGTGATTTGTGTTATTAGATATAAATAAAATTGACTAGACCTGTCTTGACTTATTGATCTTAAATAAGGACTTGTTGGTCTTGACTTGTGGCTTATTGGTCTTGACTTGGACTGTCTTGATCTTAACTAAGGACTTGTTGGTCCTTGGGACCTACCTGTCTTGACTTATCGGTCTTGATTTAAGACTTACTGGTTTTGACTTGGGACTTAGCTACTGTAGCCACTTGCCTGTCATGACTTGTCAATCTTTACTTGGGACTTGTTAATCTTACATTTAGTTTTTGTTGTCTCGACTTGGGACTTGGTACAGTATTTCATAGCCAAGGCTTAAGACTCACAGTGACTTGCAAAACCTAAATTAAAAACGAATGTCAAAGTCTGAATAATAAACGTAAAATGTCAAAGACAAGAAATGGTGCGCCGGTGAACATTTGAGTGAATGTTGAGATGATTTATGTCCCTTTTATTCTCATGTGCTATTGGATTTGATTTTTCCTTGGATTCATGAATGTTTGAGCATCTTTCAGACGTGTCTGTCATGTTTTTATAACCCTCAATCAGAACCAGTGTTGCGAGGAAACATCATTATTAATCTTCATTAATGAATGTGACATAGACTGACATTACTGATAAAAAACAGAGCCAATGAAAACTCTATTTATGTAAATATATTCAGATGTGTGAGACACAACAGTTAGGCTGGTTTCTCCCCAAACTCACCCTATCACCACTAACCTCTGTAATTAGTTTAACGTTTATCTAATTTTCAAATCTAATTGAAATTGAAGGATGCCTAAGAGAGAGAGAGAGAGAGAGAGAAAGAGAGAGAGAAAACTGAAACACTTCCATCCTGTCAAGAAGGAATTAAATTTACCCTGTAAGTGATGTGTAATTGAAATGCCAGCAGCTGTGATGAAGCTGTCTGTCGAGCATGGCGCCTCGCCTCAGTCATTGTTAGGGTTTCACCATCATCATCATCATCGTTTATCAAAGCCCGTTAGCAAACAGAAACTAAATTCAGGTCAAACACGCTGCTCACCTTCCACTTTCTCTCCGAAATCATGTTAATTCATGAAGTTTCTGTTGCTGATGGATTATTCATAAGGTCAGTAACTTGTTTTAAAGTGAGTGGCTGATAAATAACTGACATTTTGTGCAAATGGAGCACACTGTGTGTATTTTCTAAAATGTTTCCTTCTCGTCCTGCAAGGACATCAACGCCACTCAACAACAGTTTGTACCAGGGGCAAAAATATCTCCAGAGCTACATGTCACATTTCCCAAGAAATTTACAGGAAATACGGATGGTCCTCTGAGGATGAAACCTTTTCACTGTGAAGACACCCTGACCTCTTCTCTAGCGCCACCCTCAGAACAAAATGATGAGCTATAGAACTGACTGAATATTTATAATCACAATAGGACGAACAGTATTTTTTCACAGGGGACATGTTCTCCCCACTTTTTCAGACGGCAGTATTAGACCCAATTTTCTGTAGTGGTCCCAGTAATATTTGCTCTTAAGGTGTACTGAAGCAGATCCCATGACATGATTAAGTTACAGTTTGAGTCAAGTCAAGTCATGCAGTTGCAAGAACAATACCTTCTACTCATATCTCAAGATGTTTGATTTGAAAGAGAACTCATTCTGATTATAATTATAAGTATTCTAATTATCTATTAAAACCACTGGAAACCAAAATCCACAATTGCCTTCTAATTATGTCAATTAGGCTTTTGTCATTTAAGGTTTTGCAAACTTTCCTGACATTGGGTTTGAATTGGGCATGGTTATGCTCAGATATTTATTATGAAAATTAAGCAATTAGTTCAGCAAACCAATAAAGAAATACATGTCAGTTGTCCCTCTCTCTGCTCCTGCTCAATCTGCCCCCATGAGTCTGTCCCAGCTGTAAATATTTGAATAGTTCAGTAATTAAATTTGGTTCAGACATTTTATGTTTCGGTCAGGATGAATTGTAATAACTTTGTGATAACACAACCGTGAGCATGGCTGTAAACTCTTTTTAACAATGGATAATATTAAAATATGACATATTTGACTCATTAAGATGTAGTTATATTTTATTTACATACTTTTTGACGATGAACTGATCCCACTGGAATCTGATATGGGCCACATTCAAAAAATAATGTGAACAACCATCAAAAATCTAAGCAATAAATCACAATTGAGCGCTAAGACTGGCAGTGTGAACATAGCCATTCACATATCATCACCTTTTAAGTTGATATGGTTAGAAAATAGTTTTTTATTCACACATTCAGCAATTACAGAGCAACATTATCATTTATTGGATACATTTTTATGTCCACACGCTGAATGTGAGTCAATGAGAGCAGTGAGAGTGACCAAAACAGTAAAGCTGTGGACCAGACAGCTAAACAATGATCTGAAACTCACTGTAAAGCTCAGTAAAGTTGAGGAGAGCTGCAGATTGAGGCGACAGTTGTCTGTAGGTCCATCACTATGAGCAAGACCTTTCACATTGTCCCATTGTTTTCACATTCTCATTTGATACATTGTTATTCTGAAAACATCGATTTCATCCACTTTTAAATATATTTTTCATACTATCTTGCAAAAAAAATAGGCCTAAAAAGATTTAAATGATAATTAAAACAAAAAAAGGGGACATCTACAGGAATAAATTCAAATTGTTTCACTAAGTCAACACTAGATGATCCTTCTTGTAAATTCAAAATGCTGCATTCAGGCACCATTTCAATTTCCAGGATCAAACGTATATTTTTTAAATACTGAGGAGACACTCATCATCAGCAGCGAGCAGCAATCATCTGCTACTTGGCCGTACATCTCCTCTCTGCCTTGGCGGTTTGACATCCTCGGCACTCCGCTCGCCGTTCGAGGCTCATTCATAACTGCCGTACAGACGTGTAATCAGTCTTTACTGCCGGAGTAAATGTCTCCCCTCGGACAGATCCCCGCTGCCCGCCTGCTATTAAAATTAAATTGGATTTCATTTCTAAGCTCCTATTAATTCAGAGAAGTCTTGTCTGTTGATGGAGGGTCCACTCCGGCAGTTAGTTTCCTCCTCCTCTCTTTCCCTTTCCTCTTTGCTCTCCGGCCGGCAGCGCGATCCCAGAGTGTCACGGCTCTAATAACAGTAATTACTTAGTGAACATTTTTGGAAGGACTTTACAGAGTTTTCAAATAAAAGATGACGATGTCTTCTCCACTCTGTTATTTAATCAAAGCTAATGAGATGGAGCCAAATGTATTTTTTTATGTTAATGGGTTAGTTATAGGAAATGTCTCATTTCACATGTGAGTTACTTTCTGCCTCGTGGCAAGGACAAAGTTCTTGGGTTCAAAAAGAAAAGGAAACGCACAAAGGCAGAAAGACCACAGATAGAAATAAGTACAGCTTGTTTATGGCCCTTGATTTTTCCTTCTGATTCACTGTCTGAATGTTGATATTTTCTGAGCAAGGCAACCTAACCCCGAAACCTGCTCATGGGGCGCTGGTAACGCGGCAGCCCCATCACTCCACCATCTCTCCCCTTTGCATGTCCACGATGTGCATGTAGTGTGCATTTCAGCCTGTGTGTTGATATAAAAAAAGAGAGTGAAAAAAACAAATTTCCCCCTAGGGGATCAATAAAGTATATCTTCTTTTTGTAACCATGTATCAATCCATATATATAATCATTACTACAATACCAGTACAATCAGTGTATCATGATTATGAAGATGAGACAAAAATTAGAGATCTTCCAATTTCTTCCAGTCACAAGGAGAATCATAAGATCCATATGTCATAATTAAGAGGTATTTTTCTTGTACTTATTAATTATGTTGTGATTACAAGACAGATTTTTTCGTAATTACAAAATATGGATCTTGAGATGTAAAATCGCAAATACAATATACAGAAGAAACATGAATTAGAAAAATCTCCCATTTTGTTTTCTTTGAACAAATCATTTTGGTTCCCATACTTTGGTTTTCATACTATTTATGTTTTTACAGTATATGTGTGTGTGGGAGGTTACATTTTTCTTAATGTTGATTGATCAAATGAAGAACATTTGTCCAGTCATTTATTGGCATGGGCTGTTACGACACACAGGATGAAACCTCACGCCGGATGTCACATGTCAAAAAAAGAGTGACCAAACACTCGACTGGTGAAACCTACTAAAAACTGATGGACTTGGATCTTAAACATTTTGATGTGTTATTAAGCAGCTGAATACTTCCCCTAAAACACTTTTACATTACTGTTAATCAGCACATCACTCACAAAGACTGCAGCAGTAACAGGCGTACAAATTAGTTTTTTATAAATCATGTGTTAGGTGGGGAGAGTGGCTGAATGAGGGTCTAATGGGGATTATTGATGGATGATGGCTGGAAGGTGTCCTGATGAGGAACTGTAGTGAGCCCCAGACTGGCTGTAACATGGTGATGAGGGGGTTCGGGTTGGATAATTGTGAGAAGATATTTCAGAAGTTTTCTTGCTGGACTCAAGATGTCTCCTACTTCACTGTAAAGTCCACTCTCAGTGTCTGTGCACTGGTGGCTTCAAGCTTCTACTTCACACACACCAGAAAATTACTTCCAGACTATTTGTGATGTCACAAATCATGCTAGTAGGCCCCACCCCTTAAAATCAGTGAGCACAGAGAAATCTTCCACTTTCATGAAATGTGAATGTGAAACCATCCTTCTAGTGCCAAACTCTGCTTATACATCATTCTGCACAGTGAAGCTCAAACACCCAACTGTAGGAGCAAGAGCAAAAACACTTTTTTGAGAGGAGGGGGACTTTAACTTGAAACAGCTTGGAAACGTTGACAAAACAATCTCTCCACAAGATCCACTCAATAGTTGTTCTGGAGCATTTTAATCATTTTAGTGATTGATCATGTGACCCCTCTCTGTTTCTCTTCCAGGGTTGGAGAAAGTTGGCCGTGACTCCACCTACGAGCAGGAGGGGAAGGTTCAGTTTGTGATGGACGCAGTGTACGCCATGGCCCACGCTCTGCACCACATGCACCGCGATCTCTGTGCCGGATACCCTGGCCTGTGTCCCCGCATGGCCAGCATTGATGGAAAGGAGCTGTTGGCCCACATTCGCGCCGTTGGCTTTAACGGTAAGAGCTGCTGCTGGGTGATTGTCAGAATGTTCATTAGCACCATCCTTCAACCTCACATTGGAAGTGTTTTTCAACTTATTAACATGGTCGGTGCTCATCTCGGAAGTTAAAAAGGAATACAACCAACTTAATACTCAACAACTTTCTCTCAGATTTGAAGTTTTGAATGTTTGCAAACTTAAACACTGAAGTGTTTATGTCACTATAAAGTGCACTGTTAAACGTCCAAAAAATTAATCACAGTTGGTCCTGCTCCTTGTTGCAGTCAGGCTAGTTTAAAACATTTAAACTGTTAAACCTGCGAGTTAATCTCCAGCATATAACTAGCCAGTATCATCTCCCTCACCCATTCACCCATTCAATTCAACTGAAACCAGTACAAACTCAACAAATTCTAGAAAGTGTTTCCTGTTGTGGTGCGATCCCCTGGTCAACTCACAGATCAGAGTTCACTTCTATTCAACACTGACCCATTAGATTGTCAGAATAACTGTAATGGAAATAGAGGAGACAGAAAGAAGCAAGGCACTGAGTGATAAACTACTGCTGAACCAGATCAGACTCTGATACTGCTTCATCCAGTGTGAGCTCTACTTCAACTGACAGTGCCATCAGGAGCTGAAAAGGAGACACTCCACAAGCTGCTGGGATTTCTTTTCACATCACAGACAGACTAAGGGAGTAACGAATTACATGTAACTGAGTTACGTAATCAAGATTTTAAAAAAAAAAGGTAACTGTAATCAGAAGAACGTAATCAGATTATGGTTACATTTAGTAAATATGGCTATTTTTTGCAGGATTACAATTTTAAAATACATAATTTCGATGCTAAAAATCTTTAAATTTTCCATATTTTTAAAGGTTACATTGTTCTGTTGTCTTATAGAATACACTTACATCAGTATGTTTTATTGATATTTCTTTTCTCTTGTTTTTATTTACATATTTGGTGTTGAGGTTATCCAGAAGTAATGGAAAGTAATCAAGTTACATTACTTTAATATTGTGATATTTGGATTAGGTTAACAGGTAACTACTAATTTTATCGCGTTACATTTTTAAAGTAACCCTCCCAACCCTGATCACAGATGCTGTGCCAGTAAAGACACTAAAAAGTGAGATTTCCAGGTAAAATGAGAGACTATGTAGCTGTTATAGTTACATTTAGTTTGGGGGTTAGGGTAAACTAATCTTTCTCAAACTAAACTAAACCAAACTAAACATGCTGCTCAGTTGCCAACAGATCAGACTGTGTGTGTTTTTACTGGACAGCTTTAAGTGTGAACGTGTTGATGGTGATCAACACTTCCTGATGCTTGCAGTAAAGTCTCCCCGGATGAATAAAGGTTAAACAATAGCTGCAACCCCTCACCACACAAATATTTGATGCATCACTTAAGTTTCAGTCAAATTAGAATATTTTGATGTGGGTTCAGCCCTAATAGCAAGTCTATATAGATTCCGATTGAACCATTTGGTTGGCTGTGAGTTCCAATAATCACCGCCTCCACAGTCAACAAGTCAAACAAGTTCTCTGAGAGAGCCATCTGGCACCGTCTCCACACTTTACTGACAAATATTTGTTCTTGAATTTCTCCACATTTTCACGCACATCTGTTTATGTGAGGGCCAAGATCCCCAACATTTTAATCAACATTAACGAGGAGGCGATTTGCAGGAGTCATAAAGTTTGTCCGATGTGTCTCACTGACGTGAGGTGAAAAATGTTGAAAAAAGACAAGAGAAAGGCAGGAGGAAGATGTAAGAGAAGACAAGTTGAGTCGAGGGCAAAAAAGAACATGATAGAAGTCATTATTAGTCATCCTGACCTTCATCAGCATCTTAGTCTTTTTGTAAGCACAGCTTTTTGCCCTCCATCTCATCAGGTGGACGTATCACTCCCTCATTGACCCTTCTCTAATTTATTTCTTTCAATCCTTCATCCTTACTCCATCTTCTTCTTCTCCATCTTCCTCATCATTGCGGGCCAAGCTCTTCTCATGGCGGTCGACCTCCCGGCGGGTGAAGGCCTTTGTCAGCAGGAAGTGTGAATGCTGACGCCGTCATCAGGGAAACCTCCACTCATTATTAAACACCAAATATGGTTGTTAGGCTTTATTTCCTCCTGTTTCCACATTCATTATTCTCAGCTCAGTGGGAGCTGCTGTAGTCTGATGATGATCCGCTTTCACACAACTTTAAAAATACACACACATACACACACACACACAGCTGTGGAATATTAAATCTCACACTTCTCATGTGTGCTGAGATGTTAATTTTACAGATCCACATGAAAAATGTAAAGAACTATGTTTCCATAGACGTTTCCATATGTTTTGGGAAAACGAGGGATGACTTTTAAGCTTATTTCAGCTTATTATGATGTCTTATTTGGGTAGTTTTGTGTATCATTTCTACCGGAAAAAATATTCACAAAGGTAATAGCTGAGATCTCGGAACAAGGGGGCATTGCCAAAGAAAAGTGTGATGGGTCAAGAAATATATGAGCAGTCGGACAGTGAGACACATTCATTTTAAGCAGTTAAGATCTTTGTCCGCAAGGTTCAGGAGGTTTGACATCATCATCATCATCTCTCACAGTAGCTGCTAGTTTATGGTGCTTCTGTACCAGAGCTGCAGCAGAACCAAGCTTATCAGCACTGCCATGTACATAGCGGACGCTGCAGAGGATGAACATCTTTCATTGTCTACAGGTCTGTCAGTCCTTTATGCTCTACAGTGTGTGGTGTATGTTGTGTTGTGAAACTGCTCAGATGTTTGCTAAAATGCAGGTGCAAAGCATACCTGCCAACACTTGCATTTTTCCAGGTCTCTTGTGTGCATGTGCGCTGCTGTTCTCTGCAGGCAGAGTTGGACTGAACAGTTAGTTGTTCCTATCTGCTGGAAGCCACACGCACATACTCGTGGACGCGGAACACTAATGTGGATGAGAGAAAGAGAGGGAGCGTGCAACTATGGACAGAAATGTTGACACTACATATATTTCTTTGATTATGACATTGAATGTTACTCTATAATTATTTTATTTATTTTATTTTATAAGTTCAGGTAGTTTACATCAAAACATCCACAGAGCTAGCCTGCGGTTGTAATTTCATTATACATGGTGTGTGTGTGCTGAAAACAGTGTTCAGATTGTCATCATTTACTTAACCTTTACCTACCCCCACTACCCTCTAGATAGTAGAAGGAAGGTATTTAGGTTGCAATCTCTGAATAAGACTGGTAGTCTCTTTAACAAAGTCCCACAATCATATATTGCAGCACCAAACCACAGCAAACACAACGGAAGCTGAGACTGTAATTGTTGGTCAGTGCAAGACATCTTCATAAGTATGTCAGCATTAGAGTGTTAAAGGTACAGTAATAGGAGAACAAGGTATATCAACATTTAGTATCTGTGACACATATTGAAGTGTATATATATATAATTTCAGATTCATTCTTTATTGTCC